CAAACCGGTTGGGGTTTGGGGTTTGGGGTTGGGGTTTGGGGTTTGGGGTTTGGGGTTTAGGGTTTAGGGTTTAGGGTTTAGGGTTTGGGGTTTGGGGTTTGGGTTCAGGCGACGGAAGAAGTTTGAGCCTCTTAACTTGGCCAAGGTCCGCCGCTTCCTCGAACAAGGCAGGCTTGACGCCAGGTCAGCCAACCAAAACCCTTTTTTAGGGTTTAGGGTTTAGGGTTTAGGGTTTAGCTGCAGGGACGTGTAGCTGCCCCAGAGTCAACTCGGAAAGCCCATACGGCGGCCTTGAGCGTGACAGACTGCTGCTGCTGCTGCTGCTGCTGCTGCTGCTGCTGCTGCTGTTGCTGCTGCTGCTGCTGGTTTAGGGTTTAGGGTTTAGGGTTTAGGGTTTAGGGTTTGTGGTTTAGGTACCCGATAACGCAGCGGCACCTCCATGACTCTGGCTGCGTCCGCGTCCGCAATGGAGTCCATTTATTCAATGTTGTAAGACAGTCTCTAGCTATCTAGCTAGCTAGCTAGCTAGCCAGCTAGCTAGCTAGCTAGCTAGCCAGCTAGCTAGCTAGCCAGCTAGGTAGCTAGCTGGTTATATAAATAGATAGATGGAAAGACGGTGGCCGCAATTGGGAAAGCTAGCCAACGGCAAGCTAGCTATGCAGCTAGCTAGCTAGCTGGCTAGCGAGCTAGCTAGCAGCTAGCTAGCTAGCTGCTAGCTAGCTAGCGCTAGCTAGCTATGAAGGTGGCTAACTGGCTGTCCGTAGCTAGCTAGCGCTTTGGAGTTGTTTGGCTCTCCCTGTAAGACCAGCTAGTTGGCCAGCTAGCTGGCTAGCTAGCCAGCTGTTTGGCTAGCTAGCTAGCTGGCTAGCTAGCCAGCTGTTTGGCTAGCTAGCTAGCTGGCTAGCTAGCCAGCGGGTTGGCTAGCTAGCTGGCCAGTTGCCTAGCTAGCAGCAGCTGCAGCTAGCTCTCCCCATCACAAAGCTGCTGCTCACTGCTGCTGCTGCTGCTGCTGCTGCTGTTGCTGCTGCTGCTGCTGCTGCTGCTGCTGCCTGCCGGCTTCTCCCGCCT